GCTTGCATTGTGGTTTGCTGGAACACTGCAGCAAGCCAGAGACAGGTGTTAGCCAGGGAATAGGGTGCTGTTAAAGTAGCAGGCAATAGGTAGTTCAGGGTCTCTTGTGAGCAGAACGTAGATGTTCTGCAAAGCAGCTGCCAAGTCTACGCTTCATTTCCCCAATGTAGAGGACACCACATTGTGAGCAGTGAATGCGGTAGACTAGATTGTGGGAAGTGCAGGTGAAGTGTTCCTTCACCTGGAAGGTATGTTTGGGTCCTTGGATACTGGGGAGGGAGGAGGTAAATGCGCAGGTGTTGCACCTTCACCAGAGGAAGGTGCTGCAAGACTAGGGAGGTGTTGGGAGTAAAGGAAGTGTGGACCACGGTATCCTGGAGGGAACTGTCCCTGCGGAAGGTGGACAAAGGAGGGGAGGGGAATGTCTGGAAGTGGCAGAAATGTCAGCTGATTATCTTCTGGATGTGGATGCTGGTGGGATGGCAGGTGAGGGTAAGAGGAACCCTATCCTTCTTGCAGGCGGGAAGACAAGGGGCTGAGGGCAGAAGTGCAGGAGATGGGTCAGACCTGGTTGTGTCCTGTTGACAGCAGAGCTGGGGAATCCTCGGTTGAGGAAGAAGGTGGACAATTCGGAGGATCCCTTGTCGGAGATGGAGGAACTGAGAATGGGATGGAGTCTTTACAGCGAGTGAGGTGTGAGGATGTAAAGCCCAAGTAACTGAGAGTCACTGGGTTTTTAGTGCAGTTCCTTTGTCCTGCTGCTGAGCTTTTCCAGCAAATTTGGTTTTGGTCTTGATTCAGAGTGCATGGGCTTGACTTTCAAGACTAATCCTCACAGTTGAGAACATGTAACCTTGGGTTATTAACTCCTTTCTGTTGGAAAGTGGTAATTCACTTGATTAGACTGCAACTGGAAAAGGGGCTGGTTCCAACTTCTGAGAATTGGGCCGAGTGATGTGTTCAATGGGATGTAACTTGTTCTCTCTTTCAGATGTCCTACTTTGACCGGGACGATGTTGCCCTCTCCCATTTCTCCCAGTTCTTCAAAGATCAGCACCAGGAGAAGCAGGAACATGCAGAGAAGCTGCTGAAATTCCAGAATCAGCGTGGAGGCAGAGTCCTCCTCCAGGATGTGAAGGTTGGAGTTGGGGGAGGAAGGGGGGGTGGGGTTGCGGTGGATGGAAAAGACTGCACTTGTGGCCCTGTGCCACAAGAAAAGGCTGTGGCCCTGTGCCACAGTAAGTGATTCTGTCACATCCCTGAGCTTTCAGTTTCAGAAACTACAAATGGACAAGGTGATAGCTGATAACTGCTCTCTCGATGCTTAACTGTCCTTCTTTCCATTTTCAGAAGCCAGAGAGGGATGAGTGGGGTAACAGTCTGCAGGCAATGCAGGTTGCCCTGGATCTGGAGAAGAATGTGAACCAGAGTTTGCTGGATCTACACCAACTCGCCACTGCCCAGACTGACCCTCATGTAAGCTTCACCACCTCCTCATTCTCATCACTGCTAGACCTTCAGGGCAATATTTCATTGTAGTGTAGCCTTAAGTAGGGGTCTTTGAGAGCCATTAAGTACTACTTGGCAACTGGATAAAATAGCACCACACTTCATCGCTTTAGCTGTGTCCCTCAGTTGCAGACCTGAGCCAATGTCCTCAACAAACTATTCCAGAACCACAGTGCATCAATCTTTTAGTACTATGGTGGACTAGTGTACCCCATTCCCTTTTGTCTTGAGTATGGAGGGAATTTATCCTGTTTTAAAAGTGGCAGTTGTCTCCAGACACTGGCACCATAATTCCTCATTTGACAGCTGCAAACTTCTAGGTTAATTGCTGTCTGAGATTGCTTGCCGTGCATCAAAACTACTGCTTTTGGTACATTCAGAATCACACAATTTGGAATGTAAAGTGTTGCAATATATTCATCGTATCTTTCATGTTTTCTGCTAAACCACTTGGGATATTTACTCTAAATTTGAAGAAACCTAGTTTGGTGGTTTTTGATATAGATCCTATTCTAGCCTCATCCCAGGCTGAGTGGCCTTTGGCTTAAACTCATGATCAGCCAATAACACACTGGGGGCCCATAGTGACGACTCCATGCTGTGTTTCTACCTTTTCCCTGTAGAGGGAATAGGCCACATTTGGCACTTCCAGAGGCGGCTTCTGCTTTGAGGGGTCAGGCAACATACATGGTGGGAAAGCGAGCTAACATGGAGTCTAGATGATTCTTCAGAGCTCTAGCCTCAACATTAGCTTCCTTTCTCGCCATGGATGCTGTCTGACCCATTGATCACTAGCTTTTTTTCTGTTTCCAATACCAATTCCAGCATCTGCAGTAACTTGCTCCTCTTTCTCTTCCAGCTGTGTGACTTCCTGGAGACTCTCTATTTGGATGAGGAGGTGAAGATCATCAAGCAACTTGGGGACTACATCACCAACCTGAAGCGCCTGGGAGCTCCTGAGAAAGGGATGGGAGAGTACCTGTTTGACAGGCTCTCCCTGGGGGACAGCAGTTAGTGTATCACTACACAGAATACTGGTGTCTGGAATATAACAATGAATTGTATATTCCCAAATGGAAATAAAAAAGTAACATCAACATTTGTGTCCATCACTTTGTTTTAATTTTTGCACTTTGTGGCTCTCGGAACCTTCAAGTCTAATTACAAAATGTGTTTACTGACTGGCATTCTTCAAATTTCTTAAACTTTAAACTTCTAGTAGACTCCCCTCCTCTTTAGGAGAGGAGTAAGATAGTGCCCAGTCCATAGTGACTGCTGGGGGTGCAAGCCCTTTCTAGCAATGGTCTGTATACAGCTGAACAGGCTGGGCTGCTGGGGACACTTCCTGGTTGTGTTTTTTTTAGAAAAGTGCTTTGATCTGGCCTCACCAGTGAGTGAATCAAGGCTTGAAGAAATTGAAGGTCAGCAGATCAGCCATGATTGCCTCATGGCAGTAGAATTAATGGGCTGAATAGCCTACTTGTGCTTCTACATGACTAATCAATGCAGGTTCTCCAACTGCATCTAGCATCTCAACAGCTTAACACGGCTCTTCTCCAAAGAGCTTCATTAATGGAGTACTTTGAAGGGGTTGAGTAGGAGCAGTTCTGCTTGTGTAAACATGATCTCCATCTTGGTTTCTTTGGCCATCAACAGCTACGATCCAGCTGGTAGCAAAGATGGGATAGGGAGTGTACATCCCAACTTTCTGGAGTTGACTGTCTTTAGTCTTTGGCTCCAAAGTCATGGTGTACTATGAGATGGTCTGGCTGATTTTTTGTGGCAACCAGTTCACCTTCATATTCTCACTGGCCTCAAGTGTTGTGGGTTTCTTTCTTTCCCTCCCCCCAAACTAGATACTCTTGTTAACTGGCTTTCTCTGCAATTGGAGTCAGAATCCTGAAACTCTTCTATGATGGTGAAGCAGTCATAATGACTGACTTATTTATTTTGATTTCAAATTGTGGACAAACTAGAAGAAATTGCTGCCCTTGCCTCAAAAAGCAGGTTATTGAAACTGTTTGAGTTGTGTTTACACTGATACTGTTTTCAAACAGTGAGAGGGAAGTAGTTTGTAGGCTGGCTGGCACCACAGATTTGGCTAGCTACAGTTTGCTGATTTGGTTTGTGGAGCTCTGACCAATTGTTAATGCCTAAGTTCATCTGACAGCTACATGATTAGCACTTGGATGGCTGAACAGATTTGAGTGTGAACAATAGCAGGGGTCTTTGGCATGCTGCAAAGGCAGATGGTGTGTCAGCAGAATACTGAAAGCCAGTTTAATTTTCAGCATGTGTTACTGTAAGCTGTGGACTTTTGACCAGTACACAAGTAACTTTGCAGTTGAAGTCCTGAAGGCTGTGACTCCTGCAAAGAAATAAATCAAACTAGGAGATGAGAAATAAAAAAACGCATTCCTGGCAAGCAAAAGCATTGTCTCTGCCAACTGTGTGGCCTGGTCCTCTTGAACTGTAACTCCCGGTTGTGGTTTCTTTTGCCCAGTTGTCTATAACACCAATAGTTTTTCCTGCCTGTGTGGCAGGATGTGGTTACTAGGTGAACTCTAACCGTCTTTTTAGAGGGATATCACTAGCTCCTAGCTGTTTTATCTGTGAGATTTTTCACATGTTTCATTTAAATAAGAAAACATGCATCATGTCATCTCTTAGCCTGGGTCTAGCTAGCAGGGAAATTGGATGGAGACTCTAGCAAATTTTTTTAAATTAACTTTTGTGAAGACTCCAGGAATGGCTGGGGCTTGATTTCCAGTGCACTAGCTCAGTCAGAGTCATACAGCATGGAAACAGACCCTTCAGTCCAACCAGCCCATGCTGACCATGTTCCCAAACTAAATTAGTCCCATCTGCCTACGCTTGGCCCATATCCTTCCGAAACATTTCTTATTTGTGTACTTGACTAAAAGTCTTTTAAATATTGTAACTGTTGCCATATTCACCACTTACTCTGGAAGTTCATTCCACACAAACCATTGCTTTTACTAAAATTAAAGCCCTTGTGTTTCTTTTTAAATCTTTCTCCTCTCACCTGTTAGAAAAATGCCCCCTAGTCTTACAATCTCCCACTCTAGGGAAAATCTAGGGAAAAGATACCTGCCATTTACCTGATCATGATTTCATAAACCTCTATAAGGCTACCCTTCAACCTCATATGCTCCAGTGAGGAAAAGTCCCAGCCTCTCCTTATAACTCCAAGCCTCCACTCCTGGTATTATCCTGGTAAATCTCTTTTGGAAAAATCTCTTCTGAACCCTTTCCAGCTTAATAATAATCTTCCTATAACAGGGTGACCAGACCCAGTACTCCAGAAGAGGCCTCACCAATGTCTTGCACAATCTCAGGTGTGACAGAATGCTGAAATAGTCCTGACTCCGGCTGGCGTGTGACTTTGCTGTGGGAGGGGAATTTGATGATGTTCCTATACCATACAGCCTTTCAGTTTCTGGGCGTGTGAGGTTGTGTGTTTGCAATGTTGCTGCAGTGTGCTAATGTACTGGAGAGACAGTAGAAGGAGTGAGTATTTAAGGTGACACACAGAGAGCGGATCAAGCTTTGTCCTGGCTGCTGTAAAACATCTGAAGTGGTGCAGACAGAAACAGAAATTGCTGGAAAAGCTCAGCAGGTCTGGCAGTATCTGTGGACAGAAATCAGAGTTAATGTTTCAGATCCAGTGACCCTTCTTCAGAACTGATGGTAGCTAGGAAAATGTTCTTTTAATACTGAAGATAGGGTGGGAGGACAGGGGGTAACGAGTAAATGATAGGTGGAGGTAGAACCCAAAGAGAGAGAATGGTTGGACAGACAAAGGAATGGATAACAATCTGGCTGGGAGGGTGAATAGCTGTTAATGGGGACTTTTAATAGGTGGTGTGTAATAGCAGACCATGTGATAACAAGGCCTGGTGTGTTGGGATAGGGGTAAGGACATGGGAGAAGTACCTCTAGTCCTAAAATTGTTGAACTTGATATTGAGTCCAGAAGGCTGTAGGGTTCCCAAGCAGAAAATAAGGTGCTGATCTTCCAGCTTGCACTGAGCTTTGCTGGAACACTACAGCAAGTCTGAGTCAGAGATGGTGGCCAGGGAATGGGGTGGTGTGTTAAAGTGGCTGGCAACAGGTAGTTCAGGGTCTTTTTTGCAGAAAGAATGTAGGTGTTTGGCAAAGAGGTCACCCAGTCTACACTTTGTTTCCCCAGTGTAGAGGAGACCACACTGTGGGAAGTGCAGGTAAAGTGTTGCTTCACCTGGAAGGTATGTTTGGGCCCTTGGATACTGGGGATGGAGGAAGTAAACTGGCAGATGTTACACCTTCGCTGGTTGGAGGAGAAGGTGCCATAGGGCTGTGGGGGAGGGGTGGGGGGGTAGCGGTGTTGGGAGTGAAGGAGAAGTGGACCAGGGAGTCCTGGAGGGAATGGTCCCTGCAGAAGGCAGACAAGAGAGGGGAGGGGAATATGTGTCTGGATTTGGCAGTCTGCTGTAGGTGGTGCAAATGGCAACTAATGACCATCTGGATGTAGATGCTGGTGGGATGGTCGGTACGGACAAGGGGAACCCTATCACTGTTGCGGGAGGGAAGAGAGGGGTTGAGGGCTGAAGTGTGGGAGATGGGTCAGACCCCACTGAGGGCCCTGTCGACAATGGTGCTGCGGAAACCCCGGTTGAGGAAAAAGGTGAACATTTCAGAGCCACCATTGTCAAAGTTGGCCTCATCAGAACAGATGCGACAGAGACAGAGGAATTGGGAGAATGGAATAGAGTCTTTACAGGAAGCAGGGTGTGAGGATGTATAGTCAAGGTAACTGTGGGGGTCAGTTGGTTTGTCGTGGATATTGATGAACAGCCTATACCCAGAAATCATTTTAGGGCTGAGGCACCTTTACCCATATCCTTACTCCAAACCTCACACACCAGACACATGGTCTGCTATCGCACATGGCCCATCATTAGCCACTGATAGTCCCCATTCATTCTCCCAGGCTGCTTATTATCCACTCCTTTGTCTGTCCAACTGTTCTTCTGTTTCTTTGGCCTGTATCCCCACCTACTGTTAATGCCTTACCCCATCCCCCCCTCCCCCAGTGAACCTATCTTCTGCATAAAAACCAACATTTTCCTACCTACCATCAGTTCTGAGGAAGAGTCACTGGACCCGAAATGTTAGCTCTGATTTCTCTCCACACATACTGCCAGACCTACTGAGCTTTTCCAGTAATTACTGGTTTTGTATCACATTATATGGGTTGCATCCAGCACAGAGAACCTATTTTCTCACTCTGACCTGCTATCCAAAATCTCCTTGTTACTCCTATCATTTTTTCACTAGAGTGTAAGAGGTTGAAGGGTGACTTAATAGGGGTGTATAAAATCATGAGGTGCATGGATGGGGCAAATAGCTGAGGTCTTTTCCTTGGGTGGGGGAGTCCAAAGCTAGAGGGCATAGCTTTGAGGTGAGAGGGGAATGATTTAAAAGGGACCGGAAGGGCAACTTTTTCACACAGAAGGTGGTTCATATGTGGTATGAGCTGCCAGAGGAAGTGATAGATATAGGTACAGTTACAACACTTAAGACATTCGTACAGGTACATGAATAGGAAAGTTTTAGCAGGGTATGTGCCAAACGCAGGCAAAAGGGACCAGATCAGTTTGGGAAACCTGTTTAGCATGGACCGGTTGGCCCGAAGGATCTATTCCTATGCTATATCCTCTATGACTCTATATTTCTCTTGCTGTCTCTCTCAGATCCATCTCCACTGTCCGCTCGCCTCTCCTCTTTCCTCACCCATCCCCCAACTTCAGCTTCTGCATAAATTTTTCTTTATCTTTTTTGTTTTCCCAAGTTGCTAACAGTTCTAACGAAGAGTCACCAAACTCGAAATGTCTGCTTTCTTCCCACAAATGCTGCCAAGACCTGCTGAGTTTCTCCAGCAAATTCTGTTTTCACTCCCTTCTTAACCCTTACTGCTCTAAGGGAAACTCATCCAGCTTTTTCCAATCATTCCTCATAACTCAGACCCTCGGGGCCAGTCAACCTCCTCCACATTTCTTAAACACATCATGAAGCTTGTGTTAATTCATCAGAATTTATTAAAAACCATTGAATGACATAAATTACATAAATACAATGATCAATGTATCTTCCAGAGCATTGTCTTCAAAAACCTACTTAAGTCAAAATTGTTTTAGAGTCTTGTACCTAGTTTAATTACAGAATACACAAGGTGCCTCCCTCTCTCTCAGTCTGTACTGTTGAATACGATTTTTTGTAATCATTCATGTGATGTGAGTGTCTCTGGCTAGGCCCAGCATTTATTGCCCATCTCTAATTGCCCAGAGGGAAGTTAAGAGTCAACCACATTGCAAAGTGTAATTTTTACCAAGTACAGTGTTAGATCCTCTTTCTCCAGGCAATCTCTATTGCCTGATGTTCTGGGTTAACACATGAAAGGAGTTGGGTGGGTGAGTGTGGATTGTTCATGTGTGGTTTATGTTTCAGGCACATGGCCAACTATCAGGTGGAAGTCTTTAAAAGAACTGAACAATTGCTTAAATTAATTGCTGTCCATTTACCTTCTCCTGTTACTCAATGTCAACAAATGATGGGTGCTGATAACATCAGATAAACTGGATGGAATGAATTGTTGAACTTTGACCTTTAACAAAGAGATAAGGTCGCCAACATGAGACATATTGAACCTGCTCAATCATATAGGAACATCAGAAATTAGGGTAGGAGTAGGACATTTGGTCCTTCAAACCTGTCCCAGCACTCAACCAGATGATGATTGATCCGCCCCAGCTCTCCTCTCCTCTTTCCTGCCAGCGCCCCTCAACCTTCAAAATCCTCAATATTTCAAAAACCTATCAGCCTCCTCTTCAAATACGTTCAGTGATCCAGCCTCCACAACCCTCTGGGGGTAGAGAATCCCAGGCATTCACTTCCCTCTGGGACAGAAATCCTTTCACATTCCAGTTTGAAATGAGTGTCTCCTTTTCTCTGTAACTGTGTCCCCTCGTTAGAGACTCCCCTAATAGTGAAAACATCTTCTCATGTCTACCCTATGAGTACCCCTCAGATTCTTGTATGTTTCAATAAGATCACCCCTCTTTCTTCTCAACTCTAATGCATAAAGGCTTAACCTGTTTAGCTGTTCCTGATAAGTCAGGCCCTCCCTCCTGGGAATCAGTCTATTGAATCTCGTTGGAACTGCCTCCAACGTAAGCATATCCTTTGTTAAATACAGGGACCAAAACAGTGCACAGTACTCTCGGTGTGACCTCACCAGCACGCTGTATAATTGTGACAAGGCATCCCTATTTTCAAATTCCAGTCCCTAGCAATAAAGGCCAAAATTCCATTCCGTTTCTTAACTATTTGCTGCTACTTTTCTGTGTTTCATGTACAAAAACATTCAGATCCCTCTGCGCTGTTCTTTTCTTATTAAGAGTTCCCCCTCTGCTTGAATACCAATCTCCTCCTGAGTCTTCTGACTGATATGCATAGCCTCACACTTTCTCACATTAAAATCCATCTGCCAAGATTTTGCTTACTCATTTGATCTATCCCCTCGCTGAATCCTTATGTCACAACATGCCCGCACATCTATTTCTGTATCGTCAGCAAGTTTGGATACAGGTATAAGCTCAGAAGTAGCTGGGAAAACTCAGCAGGTCTGGCAGCATCTGTGGAGAGAGAAAGCAGGATTAATGTTTCGAGTACAGTGACCCTTCTTCAGAACTTGACTGGACCTGAGACGTTAACCCTGCCTTCTCTCTCCACAGATGCTGTCAAACCCGCTGAGTTTTCCCAGCTATTTTGGTTTTTGTTTCTGGTTTCCAGCATCCACAGCTCTTTAGTTTTGTTTTGTTTAGCTATTAGGCTCACTGGCCTATTGTTTCCTGCTTTCCCTCCCTTCTGGAACTGGGGTTTCGTGCTGGCGTTTTTCCACTTCTTCTGAAATCTAGTGAATTCCAGGATACTTTGACCAATGCATCCCCTATCTCTGAACCACTTCCTTTAAAAATCCTGGATTCCAGGACATCAAGCCCTGGTGACTTGTCTACCTTTAGTCTCAGTAATTTATCAAATACTTTGTTCATCATAATAGTTCATCATAATATTATCTTTGGGACGCTCCTCCACTGTCAATAATGATGCAATTATTGGGTTAAATTACCTGTAATTTCCCTGTTCCCCGTTATTGATTCCCACCTGAATCCTCCACTTAATTTAGCTACCCTCCTTTCACTTACCAGCAGAAGCTGTTGCTTTCTGTTTTTAGGTTTCTTGCAGTTTATTTTCAGAATCAATTTTCTCCCTTTTTATTAGCTACCCGCTTCTGCTGGTTTCAATCCCAGTCAATCCTCATGCCATCAGCTCCAGAAACCCTCCCACTCAGCATCTTGCGGCTGCTACCTAGATCCTGACACGAGATCCAGTCTGACACATCCAACGCAGTCAACATATTAATCCATGAGGCCTCTTTGATCTTGTGACATGATAATGAAAAGGGCAGGGGTTTTCTCGCTGTTACCCTGGTCAGTATTTAACATTCAATTAAACATCACAAAAAGAGATGTCGTATGGTCATTATTGTCCTGCTGTTTGTGGGATCTTGCTGTGCACACATTTGCCCATCGTCCGTAAGTTTGCTTTTCCACATTGGCCCCTGGCAATTCAATTTAGCATGTTTTTTTTAACAGCCTCACCTTTACCTCTCACTGCCATCTTCTCTGGTCCTACAAACCTTTTGGGGGTATCTGTACTGCTCTGATTCTTGCATTCTGCTCACTCCTGATCTGTATCTTTCCACCCCCAGTGTTAGCACCTTGAAGGACAAAGCCCCGAATTCCTGCAGTTCCCTCACTCAATCTCTCAGACCCTCTATCCTTCCTTACCCTCACAGGCTGGTTTATAACCGGCCGACACAGTCTCAATGGGCTGAAGGGTCTTGTTCTGTACTGGGGACCTCCATGACTCGGTATAAAACTGACCTCTCTCCTGAAGCATTCGCTCGGTTGCCCTGTGTCCATACGTCGGTCGGTGTCAGTACTCATTTGATGGCCCCGCCCCCCCAATCCCCACCATGAAGCCCCTCAGTGTGCCAGTTTGTTACGGGAGTTGATCTTGTAGCTGGCAGGAGAGTGCCCTGGACCCACACACAATGGCACACCCTGCGCCCCCACCAGGTGTAGCCAGACTTTAAAGTGAGGCAAGTGATGGAGGTCAAGGACAAGAGATCAAGAAGGAAGCACAGGGGGGTGGAATCCCCCAGATCAGCTACTGAGTGGCCAATGGACCCAGTCAATGCTGTTTCTCCCTGGACTTTTACCTTGCCCAGCCTCCAACCTACCTTAACCCCATACTGACTTCACCTCTCTCTCACACATCCCCTCTCTGTCTCTCTCTTCCTAGCAATCCTTTCTCTCTTTCACATATTCCCACACTCTTCCCACTCCATCTTTTTCATTCCTCTTTCTCTCTCTCATGCTCCTCTTTCTCTCTCACACACACTCGTCGCTCCATCGCTCACTCGTCTCTCTATCGCTTACTCATACTCCTCCCTCACTCACACTTCTCTCTTATATTCCTCTCTCACATTCCTTTCTCTCACACTCTCTCTTGCACACTCTTCTATCTCTCACACACTCATCTCTCTTGCTCACTCATAATCCTCTCTCACTTATGCTCCTCTCTCACATTGCTTTCTCTCTCTCACTCTGACGCTCTCTTGCTCCTCCCTCTCTCACATTCCTCTCTCACAATCCACCCTCTCTCTCACACAATCCTCTCTCACAAACACTCCTCTCTCTCCTGCACTTATCCGCCACACACCTCTCTCTCTCACTCCTCTCTGTCTCTCACTCATCTCTCTCACACACACACACACACTGTACCCACCCACCCCCTCTCTATGTCTCTAATTCCGCACTCCTGTGGACAGTCTCTTCCTCATTCTGTGGAACACCCGAATGAGATGAAATTCTGCTGGTTACTATGGTTTGTTACCAGTTCAGCAGTAAGTACAGTTTATTTGGACTGGCCAGGAGTTTGGAACAGCTAAAGATTATCTAAGGTAGTATTGCATTGATTTGGTATCTCTGCTAATGTGAATCCAGTCCGTCACAGGAGCAGACCCAGTGACCCTCCCAATCAGCCCATCAGTACAATGTAACTTATTGCATCATAGGACTATAGGAGGCCACTCAGCCCATCCAGGCTGTCTATTGGTAGATTGTGGTCATTCTATCCTAACTCTATATAATCAGAAGTCACACGACACCAGGTTATCGTCCAACAGGTCTATTTGAAATCACAAGCTTTCGGTAAATAGCTTCAGGTGAAGTGATTTCAAAGCTTGTGATTTCCAATAACTCTGTTGGATGATAACCTGGTGCTGTGTGCTGACCTTGTCCATCCCAGTCCAACACCGGCACCTCCACATCATGGCCACTGAGATGGTTAAAACCAAGGAGATGTGTGTTTACCAAAAGGGTCACTTCTTTTCCTCCAAATTCTAAGATCCCTCGAATGCCTGAGGTCAACTGTTCAATGTTTACACTGCAACAACGTGCATTTATGCAGCACCTTTTCAATGTAATCGAGCATCCAGCGCCACATCGCAGGAGCGTGGAAATCACCTTAACAGCCCAAAGAGCGGCGAAAGAGACCGGTCAGCTCGATGAGGCACTTTTTATTTTCTTTTAGAGTCGGTACTGCAGTCCATTACAGCTGTTGCTTGCTATAATTCCAGCGTGGTGGTTGAGTTCTGGATCCTGGCCTTTTCCCGAATGACGTGGAAGCAATGGCCGTCAATGTGCCGGAAATCCACAGCAAAGAGCCCAAAGAGAAGGAGCAGGACCATGGCAGCTATCCACTCGCAAATGGCTGCGGCCGTTCTCCTCTTCCAAAAGTGCAGCATCGGCACTGGTCGGGGGGAGGGTGGTCAAGAAAGAAACGGCATCGATGGACATTTCTGTTTTTTTGTTATCGGTTGGCTCGCCGAGCTGGTTGGGTGTTCTGCGGACATTTCATTACCCTGCTGGGTAACATCATCAGTGCAGCCTCCGATGAAGCGTCAGTGTGTTTTCCCACCTGTTTTTTTAAATTCAGGTGTCTGTTGGGCTGGATTACCTCACTTCCGGTTTTCCTTGGCAATGGAGTATATATGGGGTCGAGTTCGATGTGTTTGTTGATGGCTTTCTTAGTGGAGTACCAGGCTTCTAAGAATTCCCGGGCCTGTCTCTGCTTTGCTTGTCCCAGGATCCTGATGTTGTCCCAATCGAATTGGTGGAAATGAAACGTCTGAGGAACAACGAACCAGCTTGGCGAGCCAACCAACCACAACATCCACGACCCGAGCTACAAATCTACTCTCAAACCTTAGAAATTTATGATTTTGTTCCAGGCTGAGGCAGGAACTTGCTCTCCGCCAAATCGGTCTCTCCTTGGGCCGTCTAACTCAGGTCAAGGTGACTCATCCCCGAAAATATGGCTCGCCTCTGGTCCCCTCCCCCATTCCCCACCCCCGTCCCTAAGGTTCTCCCACTCCGACCCCCCATTTCAAAGCTTAAAACTTGCCACCACACCCCCCAGGGGAGTACTGAGGTGGACAATGGGCCTAAGACAGCAGGGAAGGCGGCAGAGGGCATAGCAGAGTTGTCAGGGGCGAGCTGAGCTCCTTGAGAGCCATCACTGCCTCAAAACCTTTCAGCCTCTGAGCATCACTTGGAGTCCTGACCCCTCTACAGTGAGCTCTGATTTATCCCCACAGGAATTCTGGTTGATTTTATGC